TCAGTGCTCCTTAAGCATAGCAAAAGAGTGAAAGGGATGGCCTCATCGCAATTGCAGAGTGGCAGCAGGAGAGTGACGGAAGAATTCTGACTCATTACAAGTGACTGCCAGCTAGAATTCTCAGAAGTTTTTGTAGACGTTTTTTGCCTCATATAGGGAAGTAAAATTTCTAGCTGTATTCAGCCAAACAATGAAATTTGACTTTGTCACAGATCACTCTCCAATATCCCATTAAGCATGTACTTTATGACTGTAAACATTCAACATTTATATTCAGAGATAAATAAATATGGACTGAAGCCATGGAGAGGAAATGAAAAATGAGTGGGTTTAAGAGTTTGGCTTATTGGGTGTAGTTGGTATGGTAGGGAGATTTACTAAAGAGGAATGAGCCTTCAGTTTCCTAGGTGTTGGAATGAGAGTTGTACCATTGTAGATGCAGAGAATGGGTGCCCAAATTCTGAAAAGTAATGAATGTGAGGACATCCCGGTACAGGGGTGGAAATAAACAAGCCTTTGGTAAGTAGACTGAAGCAACGAGAGTAGATTAAATCACCCAGAGGAAAAGCTGATAGAACAAACTCAGTACTGTGATAGGTAATCTCTGTTAGAAAATGTCAGCCTAAGCTCACAGGATCACTGAAACTATATCTTTGCATGTCGTTCTGAGGTTTTATGGTAAATGTCATATAGAAATACAAACATTTATGATTACAGTAATTTATGATAAAATTGGTTTGTTACAGTTTTCAACTTCGTTTCAAACACTGGGCGCAAGTGACGAGCCTAACAGACATTTTGGCCTGGGATGTTAAAAAGGCTTTAAAGACAGCATGCAGACTGGCATTGGACATGCCTTTAGGCCTGTTACCACCAGTACTTACGGCACACAGGGCTCCTGAACAGAAGCGTGGCATGCAGTCAGCTAAAGTCTTGATTTCACAACAGCTTTGATTTACGGGTTGAGACAAGATTTTTGAGGTTAAGTTTTAAAAATTAATAAAGTGCTCCTTTGCCTGATCAACAGCCACATTGTCTCTCTTTCAGGAGATGTCTGAGGTCCCGATATCTCAAATCCAATATTTTGGCGACATTTATCTATATTGCAAATGAAGCTTTTTATTTAAATAGGTGATTGGCAGTATGTTTTGACATAGGTTTAAAGACAGTATAAAAGTAAAAGTAAGTATAACCCAAGGCAAGTGTAATTGACACAGAATTACTCTCTTACTTTTAATTATTCGATGCATCTTTAATATGTGTAGGTAAATACAAATTATTTTCACAAAATAGTTCTGAATATTTCTCACAAAAATCAATGAAACAGTGTGTCAAATCTGTTACTTCAGCTTTAACAGCAGTGGATTTGAAATGCAAGTCCAGTGGGTGCTTCCCAGCCATGACCTTATTAATTCCTTTGTGCATATGATTTTGTTCTGTGACCTCCAGAGTATTCTACTCTGGTTCTTTTCCTGTCTGCCTTATCATTCTTCCTCCATCCTCTTTGCTCGCACCCTTTCCTCAACCTTATACTAAACGTGGCATCATTGAGGTCTATCCTCAAGTCTCTTTTCTCTTTGTTTGGCATACCTTCCATTAGGAAATATAGTTGTTATCCTAAGCCACAAATCCAAGTCATTTGCAGCTTCTCCTCACTCAGTCTTTTCCTCTCCCTTCCTTATACCTAGGGAGTCAGCAAGTCAGTTGAGTTAGGTGAACATTTGAGTTTGGCCGTGTACCGAGTTTGTGGTAGGCACAAAGTGCTGTGTTTAAAAATCTCAAGCCAGGCCTTATTTACTCTCTCTATTATCACTCCGTTTGATCAGCCTCCGATCATTTCTTTTGTGGATACTTCTGATCAGCAAATCTTAATTGAGAGTCCACTCTGTGCCGAGTATTATACTGGGCACTGGGGATGCAAAAGTGGTTAAGATTACATAGTGATAAATCAACAAACAAGTATATGCCATATAAGTTACATAACACTTGACTTAGGAGATTTTATCTCATGCTAAATATTCCATAATGTCATAATAATGCATTAGAACTGTGGGTACTTTTGCATTGTGTAAAGAAATAGTCTCATCTAGTGCAGGGTTGAATACTGCAAAGGGCCAGGACAAAATAGACAGCACCATCACATACCTCTCAACCTCTTTCTTCTACTGGTATTGTTCTCTTTCTGTGTCATAGCAGCTTGTCTTGCTTCCATGTTAGTGTCACTGTCTTCTTCCGAGTGTTTTATAATCTTAACTGGACAGCTACCAAGAGGGCCAGACTGGATTGCATTTTTAATTATAGGAAATGCTATCTGCACAGAATATTCTTTAATGGAATGGTTGTGTAAGACATTTACATGAGATGCATAGAGTGCAGTAGTAGCATGAGAGGAATCCATCGGGAGCAGGTCAGGTAAGACTCTGAAGAAGTGATACAGTTGAGCAGTGCTTTGAAGCTGATAAGAGAGAACAAGAGGATTCTGGGAAGTAACGTGTATGCTAGCACCAAAATACATATTGTAGCTAAGTCAGCTCTTTACTCTGGAGCATAACAGACAAGCAGGGCTTTGCCTGGAGGAAAGGAGGCCAGAGGACTGGTTAGGGGCCATAGAAAGATCAGGAGGGGTTTTGTTTGCAAGGCTAAGGAACGTGGGCTATGCCAAGAGCTACTGAAAGGTTTGAATCAGGGGAGTAACAGATTCATAGTTTAGAAAGAAGTACTGGCTTCAGTGCGATCTGCCCTGCATTCCGTGCTCTCCATCCCCAGTCAGCTTAGTGAACCCCAAGACTGGTCATGTAACTCCTAGCCGACGGCTTCAGATGACTCCCAGATACCACGGCTGATTTTATACCATTTCTGTGAGAAAGCCTGCTGTTTCCTCTCTCTTGAACTTTTTTTTCGTCAGACACACACATGGCTCACTTTGTGCTGTATTCACGCCTGTACTGAAACGTAACATTCGAGACCTGCCCTGGCTGTCAAAACCAGCACCCTGTCACTCCTTACTTCCTTATCTTGCTTTAATTTTCTTCTTACCTCTTACCAGCCCAGAAAGTTATATGCTCATTCATTCATTCATTCATTCAAGTATCCTGCCATTGGACTGTAAGCTTCAGGAGATCAGAGCTTTAATATGTTCTGTTCACTGCTCAGTGTTCTGTGCTTGGCACATGGTGGGTGGTCAGTATTTGTTGGAAGAACGTGGCCCTAACCAGCTTCCCCTTCTCTCTGTCACACCCTGTGCTGCACACCCCAGGTGGGCCGCCCTCACCGTTCCTCACCATCCCTCTGTCCTGCTGCCTCCTCAAATTCTGTTCATCTTTCAGGATCCAACTCAGATACCACCTTTTCTATCAGAATCTTTTTTTCAAGCAGTTGCTTGCTGTACTTAGCTGCTAGGGCACTTCTGACTATGTAGGAGAAGACTCTTCCTGGACTGCCCAGGACATGATGGGTGCAAATAAATATTTGTTTTAACAGGTGATTCGTCAGTAGAGAATTATTCAATGAGGCAGAAATGCATTATAGGTAAAAGTTGAAATTCAGTTGATTAATTGGAAAAATGCAGTAATTAGTTGTGACTTGACTTTGATTATAAATGTCATATGATTAGAGGAAGTAGCTAGAGAAATTGTCACCAATTTCTATTAAGTATGCAATTATATAAATAGTCTGGAGAAAGTATGTACTGACTTATTTTGTATATGCTACTTTTCCAATTTATTACTCCTATTTTTTATAGAAATAACATGGCCTATAATAGAAATAGACGAGTTCTGAAGAAATTACTGGTCAGGGACAGTGTGAAAAACATGTTAAAGTTTCATATTACTTTTTATTATCTTTTTGCATAAAGTATTACTTCTTCATATAACATTGAAAACATAAGTTATCTAGAAATGTTTTGATCAAGTGAAATTAATAGTAGTATACTCAAGCCAGTTTCTACTTTTTGAAGATACTATAATTTGAATTGTCAAAAAAGCCTTTTCTCAGTAAAACTGGAGAAAAAAATGCCTTCATTGTAAGAATACTCCAGATAATTATTTATTTTTCTGGCGAAAGAAAAGGTGCAGAGACAGGATCTAAAAATTACTTTGGTTTTTCAATGTCTTCTTAGTTTATATTTCTACATTAGGTGTCTGATGATCTGTCAGTTCACTTTAAATAATGAATTTCTTTTAGGAAATCCCAGCTAAGGACTTTGTGTAAAGTCCAGTTTCTCATTGCTGAACTCAAGTTTTACTCCTCACCATTAGTATCTTTTCTCTTAGATGAAAATCATGCTAAATGTTGGGGTTTCATTGAATTTTCTAGTTGAGACACAAACTCGGAAAGCTAATAATGAAATTGAATTACTGACCAGTCATAAAAGCAAAATTGCCAGGAATCATAGTTAACCTCTGATATGTATCAATCAAGAAATACAAGTAAAGTCAAATTTTTTCTTGCCTCCATATTGGAGGACCCCATGGAAGTGCCGAAGCAGCTTTGAGAAGTTGTCTCTGACAGGATTAAAGTGTTAAATGTAGGAAGCTGAGGATGAGGAAGATCAGCTTTTTATTTAAGGCTCTCTTATTTATATACAACATAAATGATGCCAAGATGATTTTTGTAGAAGATGGCAAAAGAAGCATAATTGTCACATCATTTAGTGCAGAATTCTTTTTTCCCCCTAACAATGGCTTTGTTTGAGGGGGAAAAATCCTAGTAGGTTTGTTAACTGGGAATCAGGTACCACAAATGTGTAAGGTATATAAGATGTATTCAGCATTTTCCTGTGATGGGTTCATAAGTTTCTAATAAAACATTATGAAGGAGTTTACCCATTCCCTTGTTTTTCTTAATTAAGATATGAAAGGAGAATTTTGAAAGGATTTATGTGAACTTGAAGTAGATTTTAGATGTTTGCTTTGTTAGAAAAATATTTGAGGCGATATTATAATGCAATAGAAATTTTTGCTTTATATGTATTTTATGGTATTTTGTTTGTTTTTCAGTGTCAAGCCAATCCCAGCTGAAGGAATCAAGTCGAATCCTTCAAAGCGGCATAGAGACCGACTTAATACAGAATTGGACCGTTTGGCTAGCCTGCTGCCTTTTCCACAAGATGTTATTAATAAGCTGGACAAACTTTCAGTGCTTAGGCTCAGTGTCAGTTATCTAAGAGCCAAGAGCTTCTTTGATGGTAAGACAGAAGGGTTTAATTTTTCTAGAATTGCTTACAAAATACTTATGTTGAATATGGCTCTTTCTGCTTCTGTGTTGAAAGCTGCAGAAATGAGCCATATGTGAAAAAGTTTTGTTTATTGCTGTATAGTAAAACTTAAGTAGCAAAGCCAAAATTTTAATATTTCCAAAAATCAGTTTTCCAGATTCATTCATCAAACAGATGCTGCCTCTTAAATGATACATGGTGTCATTCATTAAAAATTATAATGCTCATATTAATTTGTCACTTTCTGGTTCTCCTTCCGACTCAGTTTTTCAGTCTTTTTTTTCAGTGGAAAGAATAAAATACATATTAACTATGATGATAGATTTTTGCTGGATTTCTTTCAATATGTTTCATAGATACGTCATTTCACTTACCCTTTCAAAATTATGTATACTTCTAGTGCTTTGAATTAACTATATGTTTCCTCCAGGAAAACGTAGTTTAAAAAAAATTTCCCCCCACTAGAAAGAGCATTGCACTATTGGAGTCATTCTCCACTGTGCCACTGACAAACTGACTTTACTAAATCTGTTGCATCCCTGTACCTCAGTTTACACAGCTATAAAGCTTGGGAGTTGAACCAGCTGATATTTGTTACCTTTTAATCACACAATATTTCATAGTCAGAAAGTATTTTAAGTGGAAGTTTTTGTTTGAAAGTAATGTTTCATTGTGTCTTCTGATGTAAAGTAATTTCTGGATTTCTCTTTTTGTCTGTTATGTCAGAAATAGGTTTTTTCAGGGAATGTTCAGTCTTTTAAATATTTCATGTTATTTTATGAACAGTAGTGAAGAATTAATCATAAAAGCTCAATGGCTTATATTAGTACTTCTCAAACTTCAGCATGCTCACAAATCACATAGGGATCCTGATAAGATGAAGGGTCTTACTGGGTTTCAAGGTAGCCAGAGATTGTGCCCTTCTCTCAAGCTGTCAGATGATGTGGGTATTGTTGCCCATGACACCTTGACAGCTACTTGAATTTGCAGTTTGTGTGAGAATATTGCAAGACAGTTATTTCCCTTTAGGTTCATGTTTAGCTAGTTTGCTGTGTTTAGTCTGAGCATCTTTTTACTTATTCGTTTGTTTGCTTGCTGTATGTTTTTTATTTTGGATAAAAGCTATATAGTTTAAGTATTGTGATCTGGGCAATATACATTGATTTGAGGATAATTTCAGGGAAGATTATATATTTAAAGGTTGATAGTAGACACTTAAATTTTCTTTGATCTATATAAAAAGTCTGAATTTTCAACCTTCACGTATACCAGACCTGCCATCTTTGAGATGAGTTATATGATATTATCTCTCTGTGTGTGTGTGTGTGTGTGTGTGTGTGTGTGTGTGTGTGTGTGTGTGAGATATAGTTATTTTGTGAGTAGAGCTGGAAGCAGAACCCAGGTTTCCGTATTCCCTATATTGTTTTTGCTGACTATATCGCAATTACTTTTCTGGGAACCATTTATATAGCAAAATCTTGAGGACTTTTCCCTCAAAGTGCAGTCCCCAGACAAGCAGCATTAGTGTAACCTGGAAATTGTTACTGGATCCTGGGCCCTATCCTAGAACAACAGAATCATAAGTTCTGATGGTGTGGCAGATTTGGGAGCCCCTATCATAGATTTTAACCTCAGGTCACTGCCAGCTTCTTGGGATGCAGTCCAGATCTTCAGCATTTATTCACATGCTGTGCTTACTGTTTGACCTTGTGATTGGGGAGGGTGGGATCCGTGACATGTATGATGTGGTCTCTGCTCTTAGAGGGTTTATGGTCTAGAAACCAGGGAGGCATTCCTTGACTCTTGTAAAGGTGCATTGATGTGAGTCATTTTGCTTTTTCATTCCTGCTTTTATAAAAGGAAATCAAATATGTTAGAAAAAAATGTAGAGATTGTTCCCTGTTTAGAAGAAGTGGAGAAAAACTGAACTTCTTAGAGAACAGGCAGTGTGCCCTTTTGAGTACTAACACACTTACTGCTTTCTAGGCTCTCTATGTGTGTGTATGTGCATACACACATTAATGTGTGTATATTTAATGTAAAAATCTCTAAGTATGCATATATATATTCATGACTAGATGTGTATCCTGTTCAATACCTCAAGTAAAAATGATTCCAAAGTCTCCCTTATAAAGATTGTCATAGGTTAGCAGGACTCATTGTGCAGTTCTTACTTGTTAAGTGTTTTCTTGGCTCTTCATTAATGAATTTATTTTTTATTCTGGTTCAGTGTATATGACAGTAGGATCTTACTACTCTACTTGTGTCATTCCTTCATCAGTTACATTATTTTTAATTTCAGGTGCTTTGAATTATTGGTTTTTATGCATCAGTGTGCATCAGAATAACCTGGAAAGGTGGCTAAAATACACATTCTAGGGCATGCCCTTTTTATGAAGATTCTGTATAATGTTGGACCCAGGAATCTGTATTTTTATAAGCATCCTAGATGAGACTGAGGCAGTGATTTAACCTGGTTTTGATTATGTACTGAATTACTTAAACATTTTTCCCCTATGACTTTAGAAAGACAAACCCAAATACACAGAATTTTAGAAAGACTATCAATGTGTTTGCTTGGGATTCAGTGGTGTTTGTACTCTAAGCAGTTTCTTAGACTTGTTCACTACAGGAACACAGTTAGGTGAAAGGTAAGGGAAATAATCAGTGAAAAGGATCCCAAAGTCTTCTCCAGACCACCAGTGGTCCAGGAAGGCGGTGCAATACTCTGAGAGAGCACAGAAGAAAATTTTCAAGTAATCCTTATGACCGAACAAATACTGAATGCAAACGAGGAGACTTGGAGCATGCAGACAGCGATTAGGATTTCTGTGTGCAGTTAAAACCACTCTCCCACTGTATTAGGGAAAGAGTATAGCGAAGCTAAGGGAAGCTCTAAGTGAATAACAGGATGCAAACAGGGGGTGTGTGAATTCCTGCGGAAAGAACAATATAAACGAGTAATCATACAATCTTGTTAGAAAGGAAACTCAAGTTTTACTGTAACAATAGATATTTTTCCAAGAAAATACATCTATTTATTGCAAGTTTAAATAATCCAACTTGGATGAGATCTTCTTAAACTTTGGAGCCATGACTATACCTCTATGACTGTCTGAAAAGCAACACTTAAGTTTCAAGTACAGCATTAATCTTTATTCATTTCTAATTAATCAAAACATTCTAGGATATAACTTTGAAGCACTTGAATAAGAGTTGTTGTGGTAAAGTTAGAAGCCATTTCTTTGATACTATTCAATTGAAATTTTCTTATAAGTTTTGTAATTCAGGATTGTGCTTTATTCTGAATACTGTGCCCTGTGCTGAATTTATGAAGAAAAAGAGGGGGAAAAGGCTTCTGCCCTTTAATAGCTCAAGGTCAGGTGTCTCAGAAACTGTGACAAATACAGTATGTGAAATCCTTTAAAAATGTGCATGTTAAATATTTAAAATGCAAATTTAGGGAGTGTTTTCAATGGAGGTAAAAGGACTAGGAGGTGGGTGTTACCTGAAGAAATAATTGAGGGAATCTTTGAATGTTTAATTCTTGAAAATTCTCGAACTGTATGTATTCTAGACAAATTGTTTTTCATTTGTATTCTCTACTTATTTTACAGATGGTGAAGTAATCAATTATAAAATTTTCATTTTCGTGATATAATGCCCTTTTCTTTTGGGTGCACTTAAACATGTTCTTTATTTGCCTATTTCTGTCACTAGAGTAGAAGCTCCTTGAGAATATTGTCTTTATTGCTACACCTTAAGGACTTATAACAATGCCTGCCCCACAGTGGCCCTTCAGTAAATGTATATTAACTCGATTTTACTGACATATCTGAGAAATAATGTAAACTTCATGTTGAAATTCTAGATATGTTTAGAATTATGCTTCTAGGGCTTGGTTTATGGTGTTACTATTTTACTACTTACGATAATCTCTTTTCTTTTAATAATCAATTAAAATGATTGGTTTTATCAGTTATTTTAGTCCCTATTTCTAAATATACAGATGCAGGGAATGTTTGTTTAAGGAATTTTAGCAGTAGGAAAGTTTTTACATGGTTTTTAATTGATTGGCTTGTTCGTACAGTGAAACGTGGAGAAGTATTGAAGGATTCAGACGTCACGCTGTGTACATCTGTTTTGCTCCAATTGGTATCACCGCCCCCTTTCTCGGCACTTGCAGGACTGCACCTTGTGTTCGTAGCCATGCTCTTTGCTCCTGGTCTTCCCTTTACGTTTATTACCTTGTTCCTGGGCCACTGGTCGTTTTCTCCTTGGCTGGATGTTCCTGTTGTACTTCCCAGCAGTCTGGCAACCTTGGCGTACTTTTAATTTTTGTCAGTGTAATTGGGATGTACAAATAGAATTTTGGATTTAAAGGAAAAAGAAATCACTCCCTTTGTAAATTTGACAGGTTAAAAGTTCCAGAATAAGGTGATACTTTATTTTTAATTTCTGCACAATGGACAAATTTAGACATGTTGAAGGATTAATAAGGAAGTATTCATAATAGATCAGTTGAAATTGTAGAAGCTGTTTTTAAGTTCTGTTCAGTTACCTTAGTAACATTGCTCTTCTGTGTTACCTTCTATGCTTCCCTCCTTATTGTAGCTGTAGCTCTTTAAGGATTTTTTAAAATTTATGTTTATCAAGAGCCTTTTCTATTTTTAGGAAACACGTTTTAAAAATTCAGAATCGCTATTTTCTGATGCTGGTAAAATAAACAAAGGAAGTGCAGTTTTTGCCTGTTGATAGGTTAAATCAAAGTAGGGGGAGCCTGAGACAGTAGAATGACCAGGTGGAGCTCTGACCTGGCAAGTCAGTGTGGGCTTACATCCTAGAAATACAGACTGAATGCTGAAATCTGTAACATCATGTTCACACTTTTCCACCAAATTCCAGCATGTTCAAGTTAAACTCTCTGTTTGTAATTAAAGACAAATGTGGAAAATAAAAGGAAGACCCAA